GCAGGGCCGGGGCAGGGCCGGGGCAGGGCAGGGGCAGGGCCGGGGCAGAGCCGGGGCAGGGCCGGGGCAGGGCCGGGGCAGGGTTGGAGCAGGGCCGGGGCAGGGCAGGTGCAGGGCCGGGGCAGAGCCGGGGCAGGGCCGAGGCAGGGCCGGGGCAGGGTCGGAGCAGGGCCGGGGCAGAGCCGGGGCATGGCCGGGGAAGGGCCGGGGCAGGGCCGGGGCAGGGCAGGTGCAGGGCCGGGGCAGAGCCGGGGCAGGGCCGGTCCAGGGCCGTGGAAGGGCCGGGGCAGGGCCGGGGCACGGCAGGTGCAGGGCAGGGGCAGAGCCGGGGCAGGGCCGGGGCAGGGCCGGGGCAGGGTCGGAGCAGGGCCGGGGCAGTGCCGGGGCAGGGCCGGGGCAGGGCCTGGGCAGGTCCTGCAGCAGAGCCGGCGCAGGGCCGCGACAGGTTGGGGTAGGGCCGGGCGGGGCCTTACGGGGCCACTAACGGGGCCTGACGGGGCCGTTCGGGGCCTCTAACGGGGCCTGACGGGGCCTTAAACGGGGCCTGACGGGGCCGTACGGGGCCTCACGGGGCCTTACTGGGCCTTAAACGGGGCCGTAAACGGGGCCATACGGGGCCTTACTGGGCCTTAAGGGGCCTTACGGGGCCTTAAGGGGCATTACGGGGCCTTACGGGGCCTAAAACGGGGCCTTACGGGGCCTTAAACGGGGCCTTACGGGGCCGTAAACGGGGCCTTACGGGGCCTTACGGGGCCTGAAACGGGGCCTTACGGGGCCTTAAGGGGCCTTAAACGGGGCCTTACGGGGCCTTAAACGGGGCCTTACGGGGCCTTAAACGGGGCCTTACGGGGCCATACGGGGCCTTACGGGGCCTTACGGGGCCTTAAATGGGGCCTTACGGGGCCTTAAACGGGGCCTTACGGGGCCATACGGGGCCTTACGGGGCCTTACGGGGCCTTAAACGGGGCCGTAAAGGGGGCCTTGAGGGGCCTTACGGGGCATTCCGGGGCCTTACGGGGTATGAAAACGGGGCCTTACGGGGCCGGCACTAGCTCTAAGGGCAGGCGCAGGGGCCACTACGGGCCTCGAAAGGGTAGGCGCGACGCGCGCGTCGAGTAGGTACGAAAAAATCAGTGGTGGGCCCTTTTTAAAAAAAAACTCGAAACTAGCTCTATACCATGTGAAAGAATAGACGAAAGAATGATTGAATTAGGAAATGAGAAGGGTACAAGTAGGAAACACATAAGTGTTGTACCCTCTAAGGACTACCCCACTACAGCCTAGACAGACTATAGTAAATATATGTTTGACAATCTTGTTCTCACACACCAGTACAAGGTGGTTCACGACAACTCCTCATTAAACGCTTCCGCTACTACATCTCTACGTCAAACACCGATCTTAGTCCTGAAAGTTCCTAAGGGCTTTTCTCAGCCCAACAAGAAGCACCACCGCCAACCCTTTGTAATCCATCATCACCAGTAGTTACAGTCTTGACTGTACTGGGAGCACAACCTGATCCACATTTGCCATTGCCGTTTCCTTCACCACAAATACCAGTACCTCCAGTACCACCAACGCCTCTTTTACTATCGTATTGTTTGCCTGAATCACAATCGCCTCCTTTCTTGCAGTCACCTCCTGTACTGTCATTGCCTCCTATACAGTCGCCACCTCTTGTATCACCTTCACCTCCAGTGTCGCCATCCAAGCACATAGGCTCCATTCCCAGAAACGATGCTCTCCCTTCGCTGTGACCATCCTTCTCCCGCCGAAACAGCACGCTCGCATGCGCCCTGCTCTCCTTACCAAATCTCGTCGGGCTCTGCTGCAAACCACCCATCCTACATGGGCTAGTACCCGTATGTACAATCCTGCCTAATCTCGAAGGACTATGATGATTTCCCACAGTACCAGACAAATTGTGGTGTACCACTTGGGTATGTACAGTGGTGCCGAGCCTCGAGGGGAGGTTCGGAATCTGAACGGCACCAATCCCAGGGCTGTGGTTCACGTGGCTATGTACAGTGCTGCCGAGCCTGGATGGGCTGTGAAACGCACCAATCACACTAGGGCTATGCACCCCTCCAATCCCAGGGCTGTGCATGTGGGAGTAGAACGCACCAAGTGCTCCGAACCTAGTCGGGCTTCTCGCCAACAGGGCCGGGCTTTGGATCCTGACGAGATGCGAAGGGCTGTGGAAGCCCAGAAGCCTCGAGGGGCTCTGAATTCCAGCAATTCCGGAGAGCCGGCACGGGCTGGTTTGCACATGCAGTCGTGCCGAGCAGTGAACCCCAGCATGGTGAATCCCAGAAACAGCAGCACCAGCAGCAGCAGCAGCAGCAGCCTTCACAGGGCTGCGGATATGTGGAAGGTGAGACGGGCTGTGCATCCACAAGGACGAGGCTGGCAGCAGTAACGTTGGTCTCTCACTCCGGCTTTGGGACTGTCTCGGTCTCTTACCCCGTGTCTCACTCGTGCCCTGACTGGGGTTCTTACTAGTTCCAGCAGGGGACATGGTTTTGCCACTGTAATTCTTCTGGCCCTTTCTGCTGCCATCGTCTTCTCCTCCCTCCCCTGCACCTCCTGCCTCACCAGCAGCTCTCCCCTCCCCCGCTGCTTGCTCCCCTTCCGCTTTCTCCCCCGCCATTGTCTCCCCTGTCGTCCTGCTCCCCCCTGGCTGCTCTTTGCTGCTCCTGGATTCCAGAAAAGCTGATGAGGGAAGCACAAGGTGCAACGGACTAGCATGTCCCTTATGGGGAAGTTCAATCGAGCTGCGAAACACACCCTCTTGACCCGGCCCAGGGCTAGTAGCACTGCTACCCTTATTTGGGGGTTCGACGAGGCTCCGACATTCACTGCGACCCTGCACGGGATTAGCATGTCGTTTTGCCAAGCCTGGGCTCAAGCCAATTCGTGCCCCGCCGAACCTGAGTGGGCTGCTGAACCTGGACCTCAGGGTCGGGCTGTGCAGGTTCGCGTGCCGCAGGTTCGGTGAACTGTTGAACCTCCTCTCCCTGGCTGGACTCCCGAGCCTGGACCTCAGCCCTGGGCTGATCAGCCTCGCCCCCATCAGGTTCGGGCTGCTGCTCCCCGAGCCTGCCAGGTTCAGCACCGCGATCCCTGGACTCCCGAGCCTGGAGGCCATCAGGTTCGGGCTGCAGAGTCCCGTACCTCTAGCCACGGGGCTGTGGAGCTTTGGGCTACCTAACAGACCCAGGCTTTGGAGAAAGCGGCGCGTTTCAGGTGACAACCCCACCTCATGAGCCCCAACCCCAGGGGATAGGCCAGTTTCAAACCCAGGGTGTTTATGGGAAGTTTCGAACACGCCCTGAAGCGGGTTCAGTCCACAATTACCAGGGGAAGAAGCCCCCACATGGTGGCACCATCCTGTATCCTGATTGGTCCGCGCGGGGGAGTCGGAGTGGAAGGCGAAACAGCTGTACGCTCTTTTCAGTGTGCTACCCGTTGTTGGAGACTCCCTTTTCAGCATGCTTTCTGGTGGAGACTCCCTCGTCAGCTCGCTTTTTATGTTATCTGTCATTTGCTGCATCGCTGCTCCTCCAGTCACGTTTGCTGTAGCATTATCCACCTCTTTCTCCTGTCCTCCCTCTGTCACTGCAACGGCAACCCCTCCACCCACCACCTCCAAACCCTCCTCCATGTCTCTTTTGCTCCGCTCCGCTTCCTTCCCCTCCTCTCCTTCCTTCCTATCTGCTACATGCCCCACTGACTCAAATGCCTTAGCATGCTGACCTGCGTGGTTCACTTCATCTGCGTTAGTAGCATGGTCAAGCTGTCCCTGTACACCCTCTCCCGATATAAGCACTTCCTGCATGCGCACATCTTGGTCCGAACCAGCTGCAATTGCCGTGGATAAATCAGTATCCATAGGCTCACAAGCACTGGGATCATTTTGCGTGGTGGTATTGTTGCCGATTATGGACTTGAAAGGAGACAGCTTGTAATGAGTAAAGGGTGTTTCGCGTGGAGGCGTGAAGAAGTAGCTCCCGTCATCCAATACAATCTCCTGGAGGTGAAATCCGTCCAGGAGGACTGGCTCGGGCAGCTCAAAATCTTCGTCCTGCCCGTGATGCGACTCGAAGCGTAAGGGCGGCATGCTTTCCCATTGCTGCTGCTGCTGCTGCTGCTGCTGCTGCTGCTGCTGCTGGTTATGGTGCTGGTAATGCTGTTGCTGAGGCTGCTGATGCTGCTCATATTGATGGTGCTGTGGCTGGCCGTGCTGCTGGTATTGGTAACTCTGTTCATGCTTCTCTCCCTGCTGACTCCCGAATGGATGATACATGAATGGGTGGTGTTGCTGCTGCTGCTGTAATTGTTGTTCTGCGAACTGTTGCTGATGCTGTAACGGCTCCTGCTGCTGCTGCTGGATTAGCGCCTGCTGTTGCAATTGCTGCTGAGACTGCAATTGGGTGTTTGAACTTTCAAGTGCACCTGCCCCTCCTGCCCCTGTTGCTACGGCTGCTGACGTGTCAACTACTGACGTGGCAATGGCTGACGTGGATCCAGCTGGGCCCCTAAGAGTGAACGGTGGATGGCTGAGGGGCAGTGGTGGCGATGGGAGAGCCAGAGGCGGGGGATTCCCCGTTAAAACTGGATTCGTTACTGTGGATAAGCCTCTGCTGGTTGTAGATCCGTAGTGCATCATGGGTGTAGTCGTGGGAAACGATACAACGGGTGTTGATATGGGTACTGGCGTTATAGAAGTGGGGTTAGCAGGTGTAGAGATGGGATATATGGGTGTAGACATAGGATTCATGGGTGTATTTGATGGGTTGATTGGGTGGAGTGGGGTGCTCGAAGGTCCGCTGGCTTGGCTGTTTGCTTCGTTTGCCAGAAAAGCCACCTTTCCAGGCGTACTGGGAGGTCTGGACCAAGCCGTCAGGTTTGGAAGAGACAGTGGCTGGAAGGATGGCCGGCTGACGTCAGCAGGTGTTGACAACGGTGCACGGCTGACGTCACCAGCAGGAGGCTTGACGTCAGCACAGGGCGGCGGCAGCACCAATCGCGAGTGGTCTATGTGGAGCAGGCGACTGGGAGGCTCCAAGGAGGAGGAGGAGCGGAGAGGGGGGAGAGAAGAGGGAGGCGGTGGGAGGGAGAGAGGAGCGTGAGCGAAGGGAGCGGGGAAAGGAGGGAAGGCAGGAGCGGGATTGCCAGGGGTGGGGGTAGCTGTAGTGGCAGTGGCGGCAGTATGATTGGAGGAAAATGGAATAGGATTCAGCGTGGGAGGGAGGGGAGGGATCTGAAGAGGTTGTGGAGGGGGGTGAGAGAGTTGAGATGGGTGGGGTGCGTTGGCTGGGTGCGCTGGCTGGGTCTGGTGGATTGGGTGGGTGTGGATGAGAGAGTGGTGTGGGCGGAGGAAGGGGGAGGGGTTGGAGAGGAGGAGGGCGTGTGTGCTGTCGTAACGGTGTGGTGCCTCCTTGTCGGCTTCGGCTCTGCTGGCGGCGGCGTGCCGAATCACCGATAGCATCAGCGACGGGCCTGGTTCATAGGAGAGGAGGGATTAGAGGAATGGGAGAGGGATGGGAGGGACGAGAGAGGCATGGGAGAGGAATGGGAGGAATGGGATGGAAAGGAACGATGGAGAATCGGAATTCAAAACGTGCAAGAGCGAGAGGGGACTCGGGAAAGATTACTACTGGAGAAAAACATAGGAAGAGGCATTCTGGCCCCAAGATTCCCTATAAACAATCAACGTACGAGCGTACGTACGTACCTCCTTCCCCAACAGCGTTCTGACGCATCACCGCCTCAGCGCCACGAAAACCGTCCTCCATCCCGCCTCCTCCTCCTTCCCACGGGTTCTGCTCGTCACACTTATCGGGTGACTCCCAAGCGAGTACAGGAGAGTCACCCATGTGAAGCACAATTGCTCCCGCTTCCTGATTCTCATCGCCTTCCCCATCCACCCCTCCGCTTCCGCCACCACCACCCGCGCTTCCCCCCATCTGCGCAACCATCCCACCCGTGCCCGTCCCCGCGTCTCCCCCCGCCGCGGGCGCTGCTGCACCAGCCGCCCCCCGACCGCCCATGAGCGGGCGGTTCATGGGCGGCAGAAGCGGGCGGCGCGTCTGGTCCAGGTTGATTAGATTCGCCGCGGCCACCTGTGCCGCGAGACGCGTGGCGGCGTCCGGTTGGAGGTACTCCGGCGGGACGATCCCGCCCGCGCCCACGTTGCACATGCCTTCCATCGTACGCGATAATGAGTTGCTCATGCTGCGCACCTGTAACGGGATGAGGGGCAGTACAGGGCGGATAGTTTAAAATTGATGAACTCATTGCTGTTGAAACGGGTACGATTATTGCTTCCTAGAAAAACAGCACCCTGGTAGAGAAAAATCCAGTATCCCTTGTCTTGTGCCACAGGGTGGCGCCTACCTTGCGGAACGGCCATCGCTTGATGCCCAGCCGCCGGCAGCGCCGCTTGAGCGCGCTGGAGCACACGCCTAGCTCGCGCGCCGCCTCCTCAATCGGGAGATGGAAGAACGGCGACACGTCCTCCAATCTCGCACCGCCGATTTTCACCATGATGGCGCCGCTCTTCGCCGAAATTCGCCGAAAATCGTCTGGAGTTCGCCCCGCGTTCGCCTCTCGCGGCAAATGATGTTCTCGCCTCTTCTTTGCCTCACTCGGCAGATGGTAACTTCTCCACCCTTCGTTTCACTCGGTGTTGCAAATTCTTGGCCTCACAGCACGGGCTGAACACTTGGCGCTGGTTGTGTTGCTTCACGCGCGATTCGTGGTGCGCGGAGCACAAAAGACCAAGCGAAAGTACGGCGAAACGACCAGCGAAGGTGTTACTGCGAAACAATCTGGTCACCGCCCAATGTCTCCTCAGGTCAACGAAAACTAGACCTAAAAATACTATCCGCAGGGAAGGGAACATTGCAAAAGCAAGTACTTACCCATTCCCGCTATTGAGGCGCCAATCGGGAAGGAGACTGCGAAGGCACTATTCTCCCGTTTCTCCCGTTTCGTTCCCTGACTCGTTCTCTCCTATTTCAAACGATATTGGAAGCATGCAATTTTCAACGACTTGATACTACCAAAGGTAGCTTCGAAACCGGAGTACCACTAGCTCTAGCAGTGCTAGTCCTAGTAGCAGCTACCCTCGGGATTCAAACGAGGCCAGAGTTGAGGCGTCTCTAAACGGAGTCCTTCACGTACGGGTAGACTAAATACTGGCTGCTCGTGCGGTCTAGTGATAGGCCTTGGTAGTACTGACAATTCGCAGGATCGAATCTTGGCTTCGCAGGATTCGTGTTCAGTTGACCTGAGGCGGCCCATCCCGGCATTCACACGCCTACTAGTGTTGGCTGCGACTGTGGTATCGCCCAAACGACGTGCAAGGGGTGCTGCCGTAACGGCGAATCTACCCCTCCTCACCCGCTACCCTATCTACGTTAGCTTGCTTGCCCTAAACATAATCGTCGCTCTGAGCATAATTTCAGCCAGCTGCTTGTCGAGTGAACGAGTACCTGTATTTGTCAGGCATACTGTGTGGCTGCAAAAGTAGGAGGGGCAAGGGCTTGTATGGTAAGCCATCCGCAACTCCTAAGGAAGCAGTGCTGATGATGGTCGTGTGAAAGCAAAACCCATAATTAATTTAGCGAAAACGCAAGCAGAAGCATCTTAGCGTTGCGAAGTCACGTTGCGAAGTTACGGTTCTACGTTGCGAACTGGGTGGCTTGTGATCTTGTGGACAATGTCGAGTCGGGGGAATTCAGGGACTGCAAATTTGCATATTCGCCTGGCAAATGTGCGCTTCGGTAACCAGGAGTTGATTGGTTGGCGTACACACGCGCGGCTCGAAGCGAAGCCTCCCGGCAGCTGACGGTGTTGCGACGGCTTGCGACTAGTGGTGGAAAGTGAACGGTTGGTAGTGAAGTTAATGATTGGTCAAATCTGAATATGAAGCCCCTTGGTTTGCAGACGAAAGAGGGATACCAATAGATAGAGCTCGTTTAGAATGTCCGTGACAGCTTCGATCGCTCAGCTGAGGTTCAGCTGAGTCCGACGACAGTGTGCGACGGTCGGTTGGCTCAGAACAGAAATCTCCGTTACACTTTTAATACCAACATAAACAGAAACTTGTAAACTCACATTAGGCAAATACAGGTACCTTATACTGGTACCAAGAGCATTAAATTCACATTGGGCAAATATACGATTTGCTATTGAGTTGCAAGATTTAAACTAGTCTAATATGCGGCCTTTACATTGTTGACGAGATAAAGAGCATCTAAAATTGTGGATGCTACACATGACAGCCTAAAGGTTCTTTATAGCTAGTCCCTCTCACAACTACCCACCCTCTTCCATGGCCAGCACCACCTGAACAAGCCATGCTATTGACCAAGAATCGCTATCCTCAAATACCTCTAAGTCCTTGTTTGCAGGGTCATTTAGATTCCCACCCCTATACTTTGCCGAAGCAGGGAACTCCCCTGCTTCACCAATCACAATTCCCCGAGGCTCACCTAATGGCTCCTCAAGCCCACATCCTTTTCGGGTGTAGAACTGGTCGAAAATGTAACATAGAATGTGGGGAACGAGAAACGATTGGTGAATTCTCAGGAGGAGCCTGGGAAGGACTAGTGACCGACGAACGAAGCGGGTTAGCGCACCAAGCAGGTTCGATACGAGCGAGGGATGTTGTCTGGGAAATGAACCACGAGCAGTTTTCTTGTAACGAGGATAGGGAGCTGTGTGTGAAAATTCCGTGGCTTGCGAAGTTTGTTGGTGTTGGTCTGATAGACGCGGGTGGAATGGAGGAGGATGAATGAGACTGGAACTTGAAGGGCTTTGTGCTTGAGACACTTTCTGAGGAGACTCAAAAGAAGCTTGTTTATGCTGGTCTGGCTTGTGTGAGTGCAATGGAATGAGACTGGAGCTTGACGGGCTGGGTGCTTGAGAGGATGCTGACAGGGGACTGAAACTGGAGGATCCTGAAAATGAAGCGCGAGTGGTGAAAGCTGAAAACGGTAGAGAGGAGGAGGATGCTGAGGAGAAGGGTGATTGAGCCGAGACGGAGGGGTTTGTGAGTGAGGAGTGGAAAGTGTGCGTTGAGCTGGAAGCCGTTAGAGCAGAGGAATAGAAATGAACGGAGCCTTGAACTGCCAATGAATCCTCGGCGAGTGCATCAGGAGTTGGTGGCATAGCCACGGCAGAAGAAGCAGCTGGGGCAGAAATAGCAGAAGGAGCAGAGGGAGGAGAGACAGCAGGCAGAGCGGCACCATACACATGACCCAGCATGGGTGAACAAGGGAGGCAGGGAGGTTCTAGGCGAGGATGGGCTGGCAGATGGCTGGAGGGTGAAGGAGGAGCAGCCAGGGGGAACAGGAGCTGTGGAGGAGGTAAGGAGTGGAGTACGTAGGAACGAGGCGCAGAATCATAAAATGCAGCAGGTGTGGGGCGCATGGAAGCAGGAGGAAGCAAGTGGATAGCAGCTGCAGCTGCAAAGTCCTCTGCCCTGCGAATCAGTCCCTTCCATGGCTCCTCTGGCTTTTCACCATGGACCCGCCACTCTCCCGCATCCCCTTGCTCCTGCCACGTGGAAAGCTCCTCAGCCTTTCTCAAACCCTCCCGCAGCTCGTCCACGTCAGCAGGCCACCGGCCGGCGCCGTTAAGAAAAAATCTGCCGCCCAATCTTTCGCCACTGCAGAGCACTGTTATTGAGGTTCCCGCCGCACCTAGGGCCTCTGCCGAAGCTGCGGATTCACCATTCGAACCAGCGCCTGATAAAAGCAACGCCTGCTGAAGACGCCGGTTCTGTGTAGAACTCAATCCGGAACATAGTTCGGAACCTGGTTCGAAATCTAGTTCGGAATCCGGTTTGGAATACGTCCCTGGAAACTTCGCGAGGCAGGGGTTAAGGGACCAGTTACCACCTCGTTGACAGTGGCCCACATTGTCTCTGCTGCTGTTGTCACGCCTGTTTTTGTCACGAACCCCCTCCAAGCAGACAATGCTGTCTGCTTCTTCCCTCTGAAGACTTGAGCCTCTATAACCCTGGTCCTTGTCCCTGTTACTGACCCTGTCCCTCTCCCTATCCCTATCCCTGTTTTTGTCACAGCAGTTGCATTCTGCTGCCTTTCCATCTAACTCCTCAACCGCCACTTTCCAACCCTGAATTACAGGTTTTTGGGTTACGGGTTCGTAGAACACAGGCTGACGCCTGTCATCTGCGCTTGTCTGCGCTTCCCCCGCTTCCCCCGTTTCCCTCGATTTCCCCGCTTTCCGCGCTTTCCGCGCTTCCCCCGGTTCGACCGCTCTCCGCGCGTCTCCCGCTTCTCTCTCACGCGCAGCCTGTACCGCTTGCTCCAACGCGCGCAGAGACTCTTCCGCCGTTCTTGCGCGGGTCTGCGCCAGCTGCAGCGCGCACATGAGCTCCGCCGTGGTTAGCGCGCGCAACGATTCATCCGCAGAAAGGGTTCTTCCGAATTTGCCTGAAATGTCGATAACGACTTCCTCTTCGGGTGGACACGCAACGCCGTCAACGCCCGGTGACGGCGACAGCACGTCCGCTGACGTCGGCGGTGATCGCGGCAGTGATAGCGGCGTGGCTGGTGGCGGAGACTCGTTCGACTTCAAATTGGCGGACTGCTTCGACAGGCACAGATCGACAGGGAATGCGATAAAATCCGGCGAAAAGGTGGTAACCATGGGAGGATGATCAAACCGGAGCGAAGGGTGCATTGGTGCCTTGACGAGCAGGTATCCTCCCTCCAGGTCTGGTGCTGGCGTCCCTTCTACATCTGACTCATACGCCGCTGCGTCCTCTACCCTCCCCAACATTTCCATACTTCCCTTCTCTCTCTCTTGAATCCGGTCTCGCTGCGGACCGTCAGGCCCCTTTAATATTATATCCTTTGAACAAACTGCAGGAGAGACGGAACGCACGCAAGGATACCTCGCCACTTGTCTGGAGAACGGAAAAAAATACTTCAGCTTTTGCGAGCTTGGCTTGTTCACGCAACGTGAACAAGCACGAATGTTGTTCGTCGCTGAAGCCAGACCAACCGGCAACAGCACGCCTGCTGCTCCTATGGGCTGACCTACGCTGATCAGGGCGCTCTCTACTATCGCCTCCACGCACTCCCACCTGCGGCTTGCTTCATTCAACCGCGCTCGCTGCTGCTGCGGCTGCTCCGACTGCTGTGACTGTGCTCTGCTTTGTGTTGCAGCGACATGTGAGGCTGCAGTTCCATGAGAAAACGGGGAACCTAGATTTGCGGATACGGTAACAAAAGCATCCAATAGCGGAGATGACTTGTTTGATGACCGTGAGGCACAGGTGAGCTGTCGCTGACAGAGTCGAGTGGTTGGAGAGATTTGCTCCAAAGCCGGGTTTGGAGATTCGTTGTTGCACACGTCGCCTCCATTTGCTCGCGTGGTTCGATAATTGCCCGAGGGGCCTTGCCAGGGGATTCCCGCAGCCTTTTGTTTACCCGGCACAATACCCGACAAGGGTTTGTATCACTGAAATTCTTTTATCGTGCTCATATTGGTTGATGCGCGATCTTTTA